AAAAAAAAAAAAAAAAAAAAAAAAAGCGGATGAGCAAACGCGTTCCCTGGACATGGCAGTTTTTCCAGGATACTTATCTTTGAAAAACCCCGCAGTGTAGACATTATATTTCTGGATGAGCAGGAATATTCCAGAAATATAATTTATGCTATCATGTGCCGACAGTGTCCGTCTGCTATGTACACTGGACAAACGTCTCAGACACTTAGCCAAAGAATCAATGCACACAAAACAGATATTAGACAGGAACACAAAGAAAAAAGTTTCTTGCCTTTTCAACCAGAAAGGGCATTGTCTCAATGACTTGATTACCTGCATCCTGCTTCAAAGACATTTTAACACCAGACTTGAAAGAGAATCCTCTGAACTGTCATTCATACTTAAATTTGACACTTTACACAGAGGTCTCAACAAAGATGCTAATTATCTTACCCATTACAAAGATAGCTTCCCCAATTATCACCTCTAATATCATTAGCTCAGACATTTACCTCCCCCCCTCATACCTCCTCTGTTCTGAAATTTGATTTGTCCTTTTCATATGTGTTCACTTTTTTTTTTATTGCATCCCTTTGGTATATATGGTCATGCCAATTTTCTTCCACAATTTGATCTGAGGAAGTGGGTCTGGCCCAAGAAAGCTCGTCACCTAATAAACCATCTTGTTAGTCTTTAAAATGCTACATAGTCCTGTTTTTTGTTTCAGCTACACCAGACTAACACGGCTACATTTCTATTAAAGTTGATTCATATAATTATTTAAATCCTCTAGGATGAATTTAATCAGATCTTGACAACTTGAATACATCTAACGTGCTGGCGGCTGCTTCCCACGACTTTAATTGGCTAGGACTAGCTAACCATAACCAATGGGAGCAGTGGGGGGGATATGGCTGGTCAACATAAACAAAATATCTCACTGCCCACCAGTGGATTTCCCAGATGGGCCATGTGCCAGAAGTTCTCTCCCCTCTTTTTCATACCAATTATGTTTAATATCTGGTCACCATTACTCCTTTTTCTGAAGACCAATGCAAAAGAGGCATTAAGTACCTCAGCTTTCTTCCTGGCATCTATTAGTTCTCCTTGGGTCTATACTTTTTCTTCATCTTTTTCTTGCTTTACATATTTAAAGAACCTTGTATTGTCTTTGACATCCCGTGCTAGATGTTTTTTACTTTGTCCCTACATGGTTGTGCTAGTCTTCTGTATTCCTCAGAAGTTCATCCATATTTCCACTTTACAAGATTTTTTTATTATTATTTTCAGGTCATTAAAGGGCTCCTGACAGAGCTGTACTAGCTTCTTCCTATCTTTCTTTCACATTGGAATAATTGTCAATTATGCCTTTAATACTGTCTCCTCAAGAATAGGGATATAAAATCCTGTTTAATGTTTAAATAAACATAATGTTTAATCAGTTAACTGATTAATTGGGGAGGGGACTGCTCCAGCCAGGCTGGAGTACACCTACCAGCAGCATGCCTGGGACCAGGTCCGCTGTAGGTGAGGGCTGCTTGGGCCGGGCTGCAGTGACCTCTGCCAGTAGTGGACCTAGAGGGGCTACTCCAGCCTCCTGACTACGGTGGGTTGCTCCAGGCTCCACTAGTTAACCATTAACATTTCTACTTAAGAAACTGCCAGTTTTCCTGTACTCCTTTTTCCCTTACATTTTTTCCACAGGAGACCTTACCTACCTATCCTCTTGAGTTTGTTGTCCTTACTACGCTGCTCTCACTCCTTCCTTTTCCTTGAACCTTGAAAACTATTATTTCATGATCAATTTCACCCACATTGCCTTCAACCTCCAGATTGGCAAAACTAAATAGGCTCTCCCCCAGGTTATTTCCTCCATTTTCTGAAACAAAAAGTTGTCCCCAGTACATTCAAAGTACTTTCTCAATGTTTTGTTATATTATTTTTTCCAGCAGAAGTCTAAGTAGTTACAATCTCCCATTACTACCAGCTCTTCTGTTTTGGATATTTATTTTGTTCTAAAAATGCTTCGTCCATCTCCTCTTCCTAATTTGGTAGTCTATAGCAGACCCTTCTTTCTTAAGCAGCATAGTCAAGTTCCTATAATGTTCTGGATGTTCTCTGCATTTAACTAAGTAATCGAGTCTACAAATTTTGCTCTAGCACAGCTCCTTACTTTTTCTTGATCACTAATTAATTGAGAGCACTAACAAAAGCAAAATAAACTCTTGAAGTTCCAGCTTCTCTCTGGCAACTGATATGCATGTTTACTCCATGGTCTCATCCCTTTTCTTCTGAACATACAAGAGTAAAATAATTTTGAGAGGACAGAAAATAATTCTCCATTGAAATTAACTTGACTTGAAACACCAATTTTAAAAATTCCAAGTTAAAAAGTGGTTCACCTGAATCTAAGGCAAAAGAGTTCAGAATCTCACGTAACCTCTTACTTGCCACACAAACCAAGAATGTGCTTAAGTAAATCTATACTGTAGCAGGGAGATGTGATTGCTAGCATGGGTAAAGAGCTTCATGCTAGCACTGGCTGGATGTAGTGCACTGAAAACTGCAGTATGGACAGTGCAGCATAGATAGTAATTTGGACTAATCACTCACCTCCAAGCCCACCCAACTCCCTAGATTTGTGTGTGAGTGCTAGCCTGAGCAATCACCCATGACATAACATCCATACTGCTATTTTTTAAATGTGCTAGATTTAGCAGAGTATGTGAAAGTTTTCTACCTGTGCCAGGAATCTCATCTTCCAGATGCAGTGCAGACACACATGCTGCTTACTTTTTAACTTGCCTGATTTATTTATTAGTCATTCAATGTGCTTTTTAAATACAATCTTTCAATATGGACTTCCAATTTTCTTCCTAAACTCAATTGCGTGCCACTCATGTCAGTTGCGCACAGGCATTACTTTGTACCCAGCGCTCATACTTGCTCTATACTATAAAATTTAAGGGCAGCAATTGTGCTCTCTCAAATGGGATTGAATAAGGTTCAGTTATAAATACTACTTATCTACATAGTGTCTGAACAGTGTTAAAGTGTCAGTTGACAGTCACATTTGTCAGTGTAGAGCAGGTCAAAAAGTGTAATACAGGCAGTCCCTGGGTTACATGGATCCGACTTACATCGGATCCCTACTTACAAACGGGGTGAGGCAACCCCGCACTAGCTGCTTCCCCCCAGCAGACCAGGGAGACGCGAAGCTAGCGCCCCCCTCCCACGCCCCCTCCCCCAGCAGACCAGGGAGACGCGGAGCGGCTTTTTCTCAGCAGACACCTCAGCTTGAGAATAAAGGACTGAGGGAAGTGAGGTGTGGGAGAATAAAACTGAGCTCTGGAGAAATGTTTGGCTAGAGTTTCCCCTACAATATGTACCAGTTCTGACTTACATACAAATTCAACTTAAGAACAAACCTACAGTCCCTATCTTGTACGTAACCAGGGGACTCCCTGTACTCCCTTGCTTCTGCTAACAAGGAATAGCATGGACACAGAGCAGCAAAGTTTGTATTCAAAGACTATACTCTCAAGATACATGTCCAATATAAACTAAGATTCCCCAAGCACACCTACTTTAGATTGAACAATTTTTTCCACAATGCTTAAGTTTGCTTTACACTCTTACCCTCTCTTGTAGGCAAAAGTGTATATTAATGCTACTGTAGTCAGCTAATAAACATGCTAAAGTAATGCATTACCCTATTAGAGTAATGCTCCCAAAAATTTACTTCCCAATCCCAAATAAGTAAAAGTTGCACATGTACACATATAGGTAACATTTGTGAGTATCTTGTACAATTTCTTTCAGAGATTGAAACAAGTGTCAACTTTCAAATGAACAAGTGTATGTTTCTACAATTTTTTACAAGTGTCAACTTTCAAATGAACAAGTAAGTGTATGTTTCTACAATTTTTAAAACAAACCTTGTTTAGAACACATGTACGACTTCTGTTGTGTTTAAACTTTCACATACTTCACATTCACAAAGACATGAGGTAAAGAAGCCAGAAATATAACAGACATATACTACAAGTGTCTCAGTCTAAGTCCACATATATACTGGAACGTAGATGTCTACATTCTAGTTTATTGTAAACATATTACATTTACAAGTGATTTTCCAGAAAAATATCTGTATTCACCTTTTTAGATTCTGTGGAACAAATACATTTCTAGGCAATATTAAATACTACAATATTTTAGCTGTCTTTAGAATTAGACATCTGTAACTCTTAAGAAAAAAACTGTACAAAATGTCTACTACCACAGATCATTTATTTATATATTGCATTAAAAATACAAATATTACAAAATTTTTATCAAACTGTGTACATACTAAGTAAGTACTCAAAAGCCAACACTTCAACTGTTATTTTATATACAGTTGGCTAATGTTAATATGACATGCAGTTTATCCTGAGCAATGCTTTTCTATCACTGTAAAGGTCCAATATTTTAGAATTTTGGCAACAATCAAGTAGTTACCACCCTGCACACCAGCAATGACATTTTAGAAGTAAAGCTGTTAAGTATTAAGTAGGACAATGCAAATACTGTTTTGCCATAATCAGTTTAAGTAAATGCAAGTTTTCCTTGCATTAAAAAGAGAGTCTCATCATAAGAGACAGTGAAGTACACACACAATCACCAGAAAAATCTTATTTTTCTCCAATCCCACCTGTTTGTCTACATACTCCAGACACTTATTATAACATTAGGAATTTCAGACTCTGTCCCTGATGTCCTAAAAGGTAACTTTTGTGCAGTTTGGGAAGTTAAGCTTGCATGAAACAATTCTTAAGGAAAAAAAAAAGAGAGTAAAATATGGGAAATTTACAAAGATGCCATATAATGAACAGGTCACTGTTAATTTGTCCCAGATATACCATTTCTGAGGGTAACATTTGCTGTTGACAAAGTGTTTTTAGAATATTTGTTTCATAAGACTATAGATCAGACAAGTAAAGCATGCAACATAATACTTTCAGTTATTTACCATTTACACAGTAATACTGCCAGACCCTCATACCCTTTATGGGCCATATACACTTCAGGTAGAGGCTGTGCTAATTACATTGGTTTTGCTAGTGACATTTTTCATAACCTGGAAAAGAACATCACCAACATTGTTAATTTATTATTGGGTACCAAAAAGTGCTCCTCAAACTTTTAATGGTGGCTTTCTTTTGCGACAGGAGGCATGGCTAAACTTGTAGAAGTCAGAGCTGTTCAGGGTTTCAAGTTAAAAAAAAAAAATCTAGTCACCAATAAAAAGTGAATGTTTTGTATTTTACATACATTTTTAAATCAGAAGTTCAGCCATTATTTGTGAAGGTATACTTCATATTTTAGGCACTGGACCCAGTTTAGAGGTAAAATGTATTGGTCAACATGATTAAGAGTCTTAACCTATTCAATGACACCCATATGAAGTTTACGTACAGTACTACAAATACATCAGATACTGCCATAAATTTAATACAAAATACAAAACATTAAATACATCTTTCATCTCATTGGCACATCAAGCATGGTAACACCATTTGTTACACATCTGTTTAGTAATGGTCAATTGTGGTTATGTTTTATTGAATACTTTCCTTTCTGTAACTGAGAAATGTACAGTTTGGATTTACTTCCATCAGGCCTCTTAAACCACACTTCATCATGGTTAATTGTTGTAATTATGGCACTAAAAAGAAAGAAAATCGAAAACAAATGATCTTATAAACCAAACGACCAACCCCACAAGTAGAATGATCTTTTGGAATACTAAATATCTGCATTAAGAAGTACCAGGCCCAGACAGTTACTGCCTCTGATTACACTGATATTTTTAACAGAATTCTGTAGCTGATGCTAAAGATACATGGACATATCTAGAAACACTGTATCTTCACTAATAATTTTCATCCAGGCATCTCAATGTAATAAAAATGATTGTTCTAATGAATATCAAACATTTAATTTAGTTAAACAAAACATTCACCTTGCCTCTAGTGTCTGTAGTGAACACAAGTTTGACTCACAGTACACACTAAGGCAGCTTACCAATCCACAAGTCTGAAGTGGGCTTCATGGGGGGGGGGGGAAGAGATTGGGCCAAACAAAATTGTTCTCCAACAAAAAGACAATGAGGAAGAACTTGTATTTTTACTGTTAGCCAGCACTCATGTAGAGGAAAAAATTAACTATTTGGCCAGCTGAATTTTTCTTACATGGACTTTCTCTGCATTGATTACTTAAACATTAATGCGAACATTTTACGAGTTGTTTTTCTAAAGTGTTTGTTGCTAGAAAGCAGGTACAAGACAATTTATTAAGTTCCTTTGTACCATCTGATTTAAGGATTGTAAACATTTAATTGCTTGTGGTATTCCTATGCAGTCATTATTACTTTGTTAATCAGCTGAAGATAATTCACAGAAACATGAAAATGTAGGAACTGAAGGGCCATCCAGAGGACATCTAATCTATCTCCCTGAACTGTAGCAGGACCAAATATGTGTAAGCCATCTCTGATAGGGGTTTGTCTAATCTACTCTTACACAACTCCAAAGATAAGTATTGCACAACCTTTCCGGGTAGCTATTTCAGTACTTAGCTATCCTTATAATTTGCAAGTTCCCCTCACCCCTTATCTAACATTAATCTGCAGCAAGGGGGATTGAAGACCATTACTTCTTATCCTACTGTCAGTGGAAAACCATTATTCCCCATTTTGTATTTATGCATTTGCTTTTCCCTTCTTAAGTGAAAGACTCTGCATTGATCTTTACTACATTTCATCTTGTTGATTTTAGAGATGTAAAAGAGTAGTTGAATAGTTGACTACCTGATAAACCTAGGCTTATCAAGTAGTAATTGACTACTTGCATTCCCTGCCCCCTCCCGCTGTCTCTATATCAGAGGCAACAAGGGTGGGGGGAGCAGGAGCTGGGGGGAAGCCAGCTTAAAAACTGGTTCCCCCCAGCACTGTCTCCGATGGAGGTGGGGGGGGGCAGGCGAGGCAGAGGGTGACCCAGCACAAGCTAGGACTGCTTCAGTCCTGGCTCGCGCTGGGTCCAGACCACTGCAGGAGCCAGGCAGCTTTTACTACATTTAAAAGGCAGAGCCGCAGCGGGGGAAGCAAGCACCCCTCCTCCCCCGCTTGTTGACTAACTGAGTAGTGGACAGAAATTCCGACTACTCGATTAGCTGATCATCTGCAATTTAACATCCCTATTTCAAGGCAAGTCTCTAATTCACCAAGGTAGTTCTAATCCTCTCCTCCAAAGTGTTTGATATTCCCTCCAGCAGCATCATTCACAAAGTTTATAAGCATACTCCATTATCCAGTTAATGAAAGTATTGTCTAATACGGAACGCAGGACAGACCTCCTACCTCTATATATGTGAAAGCAAGCCACTGAGTATGGTTTTTCCACCAGCCTTGCACTGACTTTATATCAATTTTATCTAGACCACATTTTCTTAGTCTGCATATGACAGCATTACATGGGACAGCATCAAAAGCGTCACATAAAAATAATTAAGTGTTCACTGTTTCCCCCGCCTCTTATCTAGCAAGCCAGTAATCCAGTTAAAGGAAGAATTAGATTGGTTTGTTCTTGACAAATCCTTGTTGGCTATTACGGTCATCCATTATCTTTTAGGAACTTAAAAATGGAATCTCTAATAATTCATTCCAGTATCTTTCCAGGCATAGAAATTTAGCTGACTGGTCGATAATTTCCCTCCGGTCCCCTCCATTTCTCTTTTTAAACACACTTCTTCAGACCTTCTGGACCTCAACCATTGTTCATGAGTTCTAAGATATTCTCTCTCTCTCACATTGAAATTGCGATAGTTTACTCAGCCTTGAAATAACCTCTCTCTCTCTCACATTGAAATTGCGATGGTTATTTCAAGGCTGAGTAAACTAACACATTTTAAAGGATCTTGATGTACTTGGATATTTGTAGTGTACAAATTACAGTTTAATGCTGTGGTGACCTCAGAAAAATTCAAAGAAAGAGCTATTTATTTACAGAATACACACCATAGCACAAATCAGATCTCCAGATTATCTCAATATTGTAAATTTCACATACTGTTAATCATTGATGAACAGCATAACTCCTCTGATGGCACAGCTTAGCATATGTAAATCAGAGCATGGCTTTCATAAGCGTTTGAACACATTTACCTGTGTGTTTTGGTTTAAAAATAAAAAAAAAAAAATCTTCAAACTTCAATTCAAGGCAAAATGGGAAGGAGCAGATGATTTCCACAGACCTTTTTATTGTCCATTAGTATAAGTGCTAAAACAATGTATAATTGTATTCAAATTCTTTCCTGCTTGAGCTCTGAACAGTTTTTAAAACTCCTGTTCAAATGTTTTCCCCATCATAAAAGCTCTGAACAGTTTTTAAAACTCCTGTTCAAATGTTTTCCCACATCATAAAAAAACAAAAATAATCAGACACAGCTGATTTCAATTACTATTGTTCACTTCAGATGGATTCCTTCATTACAGAAGAATAGTTTCTTACACCAACCTGTGTGGCTTTACATAAATTGGATCAAACACTGTCCTGAGTTTTACTTGCATTATTTCATTGAAGCTGATGGTTGTTGAACTTTGAAGGAGAAAATTTAGCTGTGAATACATTTAACCATATGCTGGACAGAAGTTCACATTTATCTTCTTTTTCAACATATTGCTTAAAATTCACTGAAATTTAATAGGTCCTACAAATTCAACATAATTTGTACTCTAATCCATATTTAACAAAGATTCTTATCTGGAAATAGTTAAAAGGCTCATGTTATAAACAGAGCTCCAACTTTTTAGAACATCGGACATTTGAAAGCAGACACATTTTATTATTGATTTGAAGCTGTTGTCTGCAAATTTGAAAATATTCAGGTATGAGTCCACTAAAACTGGGTCAAAACTAATCTCCTTGAACTAAACACTCTGAGAAGAAAACTTCACAATCTCATTTTCATAAGAGGTTTCATGGCTTGAGTCTACACCAGGGTTACTCAAAATGCAGCCCACATGCAGCCTGCGGTGCAGTTTGGGTTTATGTGGGACTCAACACGTGGCCCGCGGGTGGGATCCTTTGAATGTGGCCTCCATTGGGAACGCAATCCACAACGGTGAGGCATCTCTCAGGAGGGGTAAACATTGAAAGATGCAAGGGGATGGCCTTGCTGGAACAGATGGGTACAGAGTGTTGGCATTTCTAGCCCCCAGAGAGGAGGTACTGGGACCGTCGGGGCATTGTGGAAAACGCTTTGTATTCATGCCCGTTAGTGTGAAAAGCTATTTGCATATGTTTACAGCCACACTTAAGTTGCAGCCCTCGGCATGTGCTGTGAGTTCATTGTGGCCCCCGTGGCTTCCAAAGTTGACTAGCCCTGGTCTACACAGTAAAATCCTGGTCCCATTTTATTCCCAGTAACTTCAAGGGAGCCAAAACGTCACCTTCAAAGACCTATCACATCTCTGCTCCTTTACATAGAAATTGCCATACCAGATCAGACCAATGCTCAATCTAGTCAACTCTTAATCCCATCTTGCCACTATAAAGTATTGGTAACCACAAAGAGAACAGCTATACAATTATCTTTCACATGTTTTTAATCAGACTTTTTCCTGAAGTGGAGCAACTTGTAAAAGATTGAGGTGGAATAAAACAGGGGCAATTATATGACATTTTCAATGGCTTTTTAATTAAAATGTATGACACACATTTAGCACATGGGCTCAGATTTCATTTCATAAACAGATTCAGATATCTGAAGAGGGGACATCAGGTTGTGGATTAGTAGCCAGAAAAAAATATAGATGGAAAGTCCAAGAAAATAATAGCACTTTAAGTGTGGTATATCTAGTGGTTTAAGAGATGGAATTTTGTTTCTGATCATGTTTTGGGCTATTATTTCAGAAATACACATCATTAGTCAAATTTTAAGTATTTTAAAGATTAAAATAATTAAGCCCTTACATTTACATAATTTGGTACTTATCCTATAGGAAGGCAAAAATAGATATCTAGAAGACAGCCGCTGGTTATCTTTTAACACATAAAAATACTGATAAATAACTTGACAAGGCAACAGCTGACTGAACATGTAAAGGTGTGTTTTTCATTCACTGTATGAAACTGTATAATGTATGCTATTGTAAACAGAAGTAGGGTATAATGACCTTTACCTTGTGGGGCACTCATCTTTCTTATCAATACATATTGTCTGTCCACGGCCATACCACTCTCCATCATAATAGAGCCTTCCTTCTTCAGACCTAGCACTGTGCAAATGCTTTTCTAATTTGACAGGTGCTAAAATGATCAATAGAAATATTTATTACTCATCATGCATATATTGAAGTCAGGTTTATAAATTGATTTTCAAATACTTAGCTGTATCAGCACATGCATAGAAATATTTATTACTCATCATGCAGATATTGAAGTCAGGTTTATAAATTGATTTTCAAATACTTAGCTATATCAGCACATGCATGTGAAGTGTTTATAAAAAGGGCACTGCTACCTTGGGCAACATCCAAACTGAAATCTAAGATACTTAATAGAAAAAGATTTTTTTCCTTTCATCTCCTGTTGCAGTGGAGTCTATTAAAAACTACATGTCCATCTTCAGATAAAATTAACATTAAACCACAGTATCTCTAGCATTCCCATATCAATAATGTGACATTTGCAAACATCATGGTAGCTGGTATTTGTGGCAAGTCTTTAAGTATCAGCCACTGATCAATTTTCTTCCTCTCTCCTTACTCCACATATTTTAACTCTTCTCATCCCCAAGACAAATGTGTCAGCATACTATTTCAGGGGTTCTCAAACTTCATGACACTGTGACTCCCTTCGGACACCAAAAATTACAACAAGATCCCAGAAGCCTGAGCCTGGACGGGTGTGGAGGAGGCAAAGCCAAAGCTCAACTGTGTCAGACCTAGATAGAGAGCCAGTAACCATACTCCTGCCACCCAGGTCTGAATCCTATGGTGGCTTGGGCTTTGGTCCCAGGTAGTGGGACTTGGGCTTCAGCTTCAATACTTGGCCCCAGCAAGTCTAAAGGCAATCTGGTGACCCTATTAAAAAGAGGGTCATGATCCACTTTAGAGTCCCAACCCAGTTTGGGAACCACTGTACTATGTCATTAACCATAGTACACAAACAGAAATTTGTCATTAAAAACAGCCACACCTATCCATTTTCTCTTCTCTTGTTTCCCAGCCAATTCCTCTCCTTTGTTTCCTTTTCTTCCTAATGCAGGCATCTAAGGAGCATATCACCTTGCTATCTAAGCACTGTGCCCTTTCTATATCCCAAGTTCTCTTTTTCATTGGCTCAGAGCAGTACAGCATAGTGAAATGGATAAGCTTTCAAAGGACTATCTGAAGCTCTGCTTAACTTCAATTAGCCACCGTACAAAGTTCAACTAGGGAAGATGGAAGCCACAGAAAAAAACATTAATAAGCTGCACTGATATGCATCAAGCCAATCCAATTCTCTAATGGGCTACTCTTTCCATTGGTATTCTTCCACCATTTAAGTATTAACCTTGCTTTGAAAAAACACTTCATTTAGAAGATACTGAAATGATAATGGAAAGAACTACTTCATATAAATATATGTTAGAAAGTAAGACTATCAGTGGAGGGAGCAACCCCTCTGCAAAGCACAGAACACTTCTGTGCCTCAGCTAAGGCCTGAGAGAAAGGATGCAGCTTAGGGTATGCCTACAATGCAGCAAACACAAACACATAGTTGAGAGTCTCAGAGCCCCAGTCAGCTGACCAGGCTTACATGGCAGGACTAAAAACAGCAGTGTGGGTGTTCCCACTCAGGCTGGAGCCTGAGCTCTGAGATCCACACCATTCTCTCACTACATGTTTTGTTGGAAGAGGCAATGCAAATGAAGTGCTGATTAGCATTTTCTCATGCTTCATTTGCATTGCCTTCTGACAAAACATGTAGTGTAGACATAGCCTCAGAGACTGGGCGGAAATATCTATACTGCTATTTACAGCCCCATAGTCAAAGTCTGAGTCAAATGACCAGAGCTCTGCAACTTGCTGCTGGGTTTTTTTTGTCCCCCCTCTCTTTTTGAAGTAAAGACATACCCTTAAAGCCCTCTGGTTTCCTTTCCCCTGCTCAACCACTGCAATCCCTTTTGTGTCTGATAAATCTCTGTGCTGTCTAGAGGAAATCTATGCTGTTGTGCATAAAGAGTTTTGTTTTATGAAAGCAGAATGTATTAAGTAGTGAGGTTTTTATGACTTACGTTCTGGCTTTACTCTGTGTGGCCCCAGCGTTGCCATTGCCTGGAATTACAGAACAGGAAACGCCAAGAAAGTTTACTTGAATATAATTACTGCAATGAAGTTCTTTACTATATTAGCATTTACATATTTTAGAACAAGCATGTAAACATGTATAGCAAATTATTTTATAATACTGCATACCATAGAATACTTACATATGAGCATGTAGAGCAATAGATCAAAATAGCTTTAACAGGCTTTTGATTTTAAATAAACTAAGAGCAATTCTTTACACAACACTGTATAATTGATGTTACTCTCCGCAGGTTGCCAACCAAACCCAAAATAGCACAAAACATTTTTAATTTGTCTTATAATTAATAGCTGCCAGATAAAGATTTTGGAAAATGAAAAGCACACTCAAAAAAGCGATAGAAACAATCCTGCCTAGCTTGGATCCAAGTAGCAGTTTTAGCCAAATAAGTTCTATGGCTGTGCTTTACTTACTCTCAGACACACTCAAGAGCTACTAGGGTGAAATTA